GCGGATCCATGCCATCACTGCAGAGTATGGCTCACCAGATTTGTCGGAGACCATTGCAGCTATTCTCTTGAGGAGAGCGGCAGCAGCTCGACCAGTACCACCAGTTGCAGCGAAAACCACAGGGATGAAGGTTCCACGCTCGACCTCCTTGACGCGCTGTTCGTATCGCCTCCGTTTTTCACGTTCATGACGCTGGTAGCAAGCGGTGATGGAAGAGGATCGATTTGAGGGAGCAAAGGGGTTGAAAACCCGAATATCGAGAAAGACTCTCTCAAACCGACCTCCCCAAACACCACTCGCCGCAACATCAAGTCGAGCCTGGTCTTCTGTGGAGGCAGTCTTGTAGCGGAGCTGCTCACCAGAGAGCGGTTGTAAGTGTGGCTCGATAGCGACACTATTGGCGACACGTTTCAATAGCGAGGCAGTGATGTCCCGCACCTCATTGTGTCGAAGTGACGGGAAACCTCCGGTGCTGCATGTCAGGGCATGGGCTACTGTGAAGCTGGCTCCACAGACACAGGTTGACGGTAAGCGAGAAGGCCGCCAGCCATAGCGCAGTGCCAAACCATCGCGGAACTCGCTTTTGGATAGCACAAATCCATGACGGGATAGCGGACGACAAGTAAGCCAGCTGGAGGCGCCAGGCTCACTTGCCAACTGAATTGTGTGCTGCAAAGTGGGCGATGCGTCGGCAGCGAAGCCACGGATGTCGGTCTTCGCTTTCTGGCGGTGATCTGCACGCTGTGACGCTTTGGCTGAGGCAACGCTGGCAAGAGCTTCCGTCACACTGAAGTCTTTTCAAATTTCAAATTTCACAGCACTGCACTGTGTACGATAAAATCTTGAAAAATCGCCTAATACGGGAGCTCGCCAGAGCCAGGGCCCATCTTTTGTGAATGGACTGTCCCTACTCTGGAACTGGAAGTCTCGATCTCAACCTGCGCGTGCAGGGCAGCCAGGGCTAGCTAGCTGCATGCAGTTCAATAATTATAGCAATAAAAACTGCTTTATGGCAGTTTTCTAAAAAAAGTTATTGTGTTCTAGTCCATGGACCCGTCTAAAAAGTAAGAAATTAATTAACGAAATGTGATAGCCGAAAATTAAAATTTCACACAAAACCTCACAATAATCACAACACTTGAAATGCTGCTTTCAACACTAAACTTGTACTGCACCAACAATTGGCAACATGCATGCATAGGAAAGAGGATCACGAGGAGAAAAGGTCTTCTACGGTACATGTAGCTTTTCGTTCTGTGTGTGATTATTGTGAGGTTTTGTGTGAAATTTTAATTTTCGGCTATCACATTTCGTTAATTTCTTACTTTTTAGACGGGTCCATGGACTAGAACACAATAACTTTTTTTAGAAAACTGCCATAAAGCAGTTTTTATTGCTATAATTTCTTTTGTTTTTTCTGTCACCAATCAATGGAATGCCCTATATCAATATGTAAATGATGGCCTTCACATCATATCAATAGAGAGGTTCTGCTACACGGAACTACGTACAGTGCGTATCGGTTATAGTGTGGTCGTATACAAGAATATACTGCCTACAAGAATGAACACTCATTTTTTCATAATCATAACACCTATTTTATGTGTATATTTATTCTTACAAGCAGTATTATCGCATAGTAGAATATATCGGCCCTAAGAATGGATTTTGTGTAGCAAAATATGCCAGATTAGTGCAAAATGTATCGCCTGTAGTAATAACATCTGTGCTCTGTGCATGCTCAATACAATAATATTCAACACAAAAAGAGAGTTATGTCTAACTGAGCATTGGAGAATCACTTTTTCTGTCCAGTCGGACTCTTTCTTCCGACTTCTCTCGTATCTGCTGCTCCGCAGTCGCCTAGCACGACCGCGAGTCTGATCCGTGTGTATCATGTGTAGACCTACATGATTGTACGTGTCCACATGCCAAACATGTATTATGTCACACGTGCATATGATATGTCACACGTGATTTATCGTGTGTAAGAAATATCGGCAATAAGAATCAAATGTCGTTTTTCAAACACCCACGCTATAACCGATACCTACTGTACCAAACTCCGTGTCAACTGCAGTGAAGTTTGACACGGATTTTTCGTACGTTGCACCGGTTCTGCTGTACGTAGCATGCTCGAAGCATGCACGAACACCCCGCCATATGTACTCTGTACGCTCACTTTTCACACGGAGTCCGGTCCGTGTGAACCGCGCTTCACACGGAAAACGGTATGAAAAAATCCGTATCAAACTAAATCCCGTACCGCGGCGAAGTTTCCATACGTACTTTGGCACGTTATACCGTGTGGCAGAACCTCACTAATACCATATTATACGCATGATGTGCAAGCCTTTTCTTGGAGAAAATGGCACTAGCATAATGCATGTTCTTCGGCGGGGAAACATGCGAGTCGTGGTCTGGTGGTGGTGATACTTTTTTATACGGAGGTCATTCTGTGCATGTTGCTGTAGCAGAATTTCATGACTCTGTCATAAAATTGTCTTGCCTTTCAGATATTTCAGATTTCCCCACCCTCGATCAGATTTATTTGAGAAATGTAGCCAGGTGCGTGTCGCAGATGTTTTTGTTGATTCTGTGTTTATAATGGTTTATAATCATGGCTTATCGTGATAAGGTCATCCTGCATCATATTGCACTGAAATGGTAATCCTGTTGATGCCGATACAACTTTTGGAAGTAGTTCAATGACTTCAAACTGTTAGGCCACGATTTTCTAAAACAACACAGCAAAGGAGGAACAATAAACATGAATTAAAATGTAAACGAATACATTGCTGAGTCCAAAACCTCGTTCCAACAACTACACTGATCCCGAGGATAAAAGGGGCAAGGCTATGGTTGGAGGTACTGAGAGATAAACAAGGCACTCCACAATAATAAAATCTTACACATCTTTTGGTGAGTATGAATGATATCCAGTCGAACCTCTTTAGGACGAACACCAAGGGACCGATGGTATATATTCTGTGAGTTTGTCTTAACCTATTTTATAACCAGAATACAATTATTTCTCCAATAGACATACGAATAGATTTCTTCTACAGCGAAAGATTCTAAGCCACACCGACTCATTGACTCGTCTCGTATGAAACAATTGAGTCACTAGAGAGATTCTGCAAAACGAAAATGCGTACAAACTTTCGCTCTACATCATGAAGTGCGAAACTTGCAGGGAACGCGAAATGAACTGTCGTAGGAAATTTCGTGAGATCGGGTCATGGCGTACGTGCACTTGGCCCGCGCAAACTACGAAAATGTGCAGAACGCAAAGTTCGTGCAAAAATTCGCACACACTTTTTCAAGGACTGTCGCGAAACTTCGTTCGAATTTTCGTTTTGTAGAACCTCTCTACTGAACCTTTCTTTAGCAACATGACGGCAACTGAAACAGCAACAGAGAAAGTACGATACATGTACTCCACATTCTTACAGGTACTACAAACAGATTGCAGATCGTAATTCTTGCTTTGGCGGCACGGAACTTTATTTGTGGCAGTGCAATCCCGGCGCTAGTCACAAATCAAACAGCCCAGACTCGAGTAAACAAATCCAATCATACAAGTACGAGATTTTCACGAGACTGCACCCATTGGATTGTTTCGTATGAAACAAACAAGTTACTGAACCTCTCCACAATAGAGATTTCCCCTGATATGCGAATTTATTTTGCAAACTCGGTCAATTGGTACTTGAAACTTTCCCTCCAGATTGGCAACTGCCAACGATAGTATGCCACTGACCAGTACCTTACTTGTAACGTGTCAATGTACAATGAATATGAGTATTTCGACAACACATCTAACATAAGCCTTACCGTCAAGAAGGTGAACTCGCGTTCTTCGCACACTGTAGACAAAGGCAAAGAGATAAAAATGGATCTAAATCCGAATAAAATCAACACACGTTTCCGTAAATGAAAGGGTGAACATAAGCAAATGAATCGAAGGAAACCGGTCAACTCAGTTACTTAGAGATCATCTGTCATCGAGTATTCCGTAAAAGGACGCCTCGCAGCTCGGCAGCAGAAAAGTAAAATTTAGAAAAGAGATCCTGTCAACTTTTCCATTATTTATTGCATTCCGCTCCAAAATCAGCACACTTTTCCTGAATGAAAGAGTCAACACAAGCAAATGAATCAAAGGCAACTGGTCAACTCACCTGTCATTGAGTAATATTCCGCGAAAGGAGGTCTCAGCAGCGCCGAAACGAAATAAGCCAGGAGAATTTTCCGAACCAGCTCATCCAAGAAGCAGTTCCAAAGAAGGAAGTAGTTCCTCGCGCATGCACATCCGAACACGGATCTGCGGACTAGACTGCATGCACTGAACACAATGTCTGCCGTGCACGTGCACAGCACACGGCTACCACGCGTTGGTAGATCTAATACCGAGCACCTTACGTAGAGACTTACGTAGCCTAAGTGAAATACCGAGCACCTTACGTAGAAACTTACGTAGCATAGCGATGTCGTTTTTTCTGCCATGTGAACACAATAATAGAAAAGCTGACAGGATCGCTTTTCTAAATTATGCATCAGGTCAGTCACATGATCCAGTCATGCACGCGTGACTTTCTTTGTCAAAAACTAGATCTATGTCAGTATGAGTATGTGCCTATGAGTATGAGTAGATCTACTCAGTATGAGTATGAGCAAGAGTCCATGGGTTATGGACTCTTGGTATGAGTCTATCTATGCGGCATGATTATTTCAGGCAGTTGCATACACTCGATCGCTGCAGCATGACCACTGCCACTGGCACTGATGACTGACAGACTAGACTGTACTGATGTAGTAGCGTTTGGCAGCTTGCACAAGTCACAAGAAGACTGACTGAAGTCGTGTGACTCTACTCACCCGGACCCCGACACTGCGCGTGACTCTGACACAGTGACAGTCAGTACAGTACAAACTACGCTACTACTAGTACTACTATACTACTGTACTACAAAAGAAGGTACGGGTACGGGTACGGACGACTGACTAGTCAGCGAAAAGAACCGACGAGAACGGCATGCACTTCAATCCTCTCTGGCTCTACATTGTAGCTGCTCATGCTTGGCTGAGGTGAAGGAAGACAAATATTATATCCCAGCATTCAAATAGCCTGCTTCACTATCGCGTCCTGGACCGAGCAATCCACAACACCTCTTGAACGGCAGTCAGTAGAGGTAGTTTTGAACCCACCATGAGGTACTTTGCACTCCTGTCCCTTTTCTCCCTAGCTGCATTGGTAGCAGGGTCTCCAGTTGAACCTGATGCGGAGGGCAAACACTGGGCCGTGCTGGTTGCTGGCTCGGCAGGTTACTACAACTACAGACACCAGGTGAGTACTCGTATGACTAAAAATTTAATAGTAAAATTAATACAACAACTTACTGTACTGTACTGTAGCAATTTTGTTCACACGTGAGGAAAGTGTGGGTGTCTGGTTCTTGACTGATCCCATCTTGATAATAGGGACCTTTCGCATTTGCTACGAAACGAATGCGAAACGAAAGTTTGATTCGGCTCGTAATCGTTTCGTTGAAAACAGATTTCAGGTTTCGCAAGTCGTCATGCAAATGTGCATGGCAACTACGAATACGGCCGCGGGCGCCGGTAGCTTGGCGTACGGGTTTTTACACGCACACGTGCATGGATCATATAATATTATAATAATAGATCATGGAATCAAGGGAAAAATGTGTACCTTGCAAAACATGTGTACAAAATAAAATAAATGTGTACCTGACGGATTCGGAGCGTGCCACGAATGAAGAGGCTTCCATTCGTGAAAACGAGTTCTCCGCAGGGACTCTGACGAATCCTCGAACCCAGGTGACGAATCAGCATTCGTTTCGTATCCGTACGCGGGGTGCGAAAGGTCCCTAATGTACTGTATGGTCCGGATACACTCCAAGGGAGCCGCTATCACACTCCTAGCATCAGGGGTTTAGCCTTGACCAGAGAGTCATTGCATGTACTGAAGTAGGTTGGGAGACGAGGCAGCCTGACGACACGAAATCATAGTACAGTACGTATCGCCTATATGGTTGGCGGTTATTATTATAGCGGCTATAGTGATCAACTTCTCAAACTCATTTTCATTTGCCATAACTAAGTATACTGTAAAGCGTGAAATTTTCGCGGCGTTTTTAGTTCGCATTTTCAGAATCCGGACAGGTTTGCGAGGTTTTAATTTTGCGATTGCAGAATGGCATTCTTGCTAAACCTGTGGCATTCTTGCTAAATCTTTCATGGATCTCCTTTTCGCGCTGTCTAAATTTCGCGATTTCCACGCGGTCGCGGATTTCGCAGAAATTAGACCATCGCAATAATTTCACGATTTACAGTACACAGTTACCGCATATACTCTAGTAGTAATAATCGTCTATTGTAATCATTTTATCGCCTGTAGTGATCAAATTCCATTTTCAAAAGACCTCTACTACATTATTTTTGCCGGTGTCAGAGGCGGACAGGAAGTTACTTCTTTGTGAAAAATTAGCCCAGTGTTGTTTTGTGAGTTCTACTTGTAATAGTTGTCCAAAATGCCTCCATTGTGAGGATATGCTGACGTTGTGTGCCAGGGGCCTTGGCTGCACAGGCATGATACTGATAATAGGGTGCATTTCTCACAGTAGGAGTACACAGGACGTACGCTGCAACCAACTATGCAGTGTGTATGTGTACGGCGCGCTGAGTCTTTTGATACCCCACTCGCATACAGTACATGCAGTATCGGTCATAGTAATATAATTATCGCTTTTAATATAGTGATAAAATGCTCAAAATCAAACACCAACGCTGTAGGCGATACTGACTGTACAATGCTGTTGTGGACATTGAAATCTGGTGGAATGACCGGGGCCAGTACCCTTTACATGACTGTACTGCATTAGTGATTACACACGCTGTGGTTCACGTACGCACTGCGGAAATGGACCAGCAGTGCTCATATAATTATTATTACGGCTGCTAAGGCTGCGCCCAGTGGCCGCTTGACTTCTCAATGGATTTCAATGTCCGCAACAGAACCTAAAATGATTTACTTTTCAACTCCCCCCCCCAGTCTCAAAGTTCTACATGTATGTCAGCCGTAGTTTATGTAATTCTTGATTGCGATCGGGGCCTTGACCTGCTCATCCCAAGTGCGGCCCAGACGAGAAAGGCCACAAGCCAGCATGTGTAAAGCGGCCCTGCCCCAAGGGAGACTGTATCGGGCAATCTGAGGTCAAACCCCCCACGATTTAGTGCTGCAGTCGTTTCCTTGTAGGCTGTATGCTACGACTCCTTCGCCCAAACAAAGGGGAGGGGGGGGGTACATCGAAAATATTAATATTTTGCCAGAAAATCGAAAATCAGTCCCGGACCCCAGGTGCACATACCCTCTCGGCAGGGTCCCTGGTGTGGGGTGCATACACCCTATCAACTGTGTCCCTGACCCCAAATCCAACTACCCTCTCAGTAGAGCTCTAACCTCCGGTCCACACACCCTCTCAACCGGGTCCCAAACCCTAGGTTTTGTGCGTCTTATCCGAGTCCATACTAAGTGGTTATCACAGCACATGTACTGGTGACGGCAGTACACGGTGGCATGTAGCAACAATCACGTCTCAGTGTGTGCTACTGGCGTGTATTACACGGCTCAGTGTCTCATAGTGTTCAGGCAAACAGTGGCATCCACTATTCGAGTGCGGTATTCTCTCGAAGTAGTATACAAGCTGTGTAGTGTGTACACAGTACAGGCTTTGCAGTGATTGCGTGTGTGTAGTGTGTTCCCGGCTACATAGTGTTTACAGCCTACAGTACACGGTTTCCGACTCTGTGTTTTACTTCTTGCTGCCTAGGCCGATGTGTGCCACGCATATCAGATCCTTCACAAGCATGGCATCCCGGACGAGCGCATCATCGTCTTCATGATGGACGACATCGCGGAGAGCAACGAGAACCCCACCAAGGGCATCCTCATCAACAAGCTGAACGGCACGGATGTATATCACGGCGTTGTGAAGGACTACACCGGTGAGCAGGTCACGCCAGAGAACTTCCTCAATGTCATCACCGGCAACAAGGAGGCAATGGCTGGCAAGGGCTCTGGAAAGGTCCTGGAAAGGTGAGCTGAGTTGAAATTGAACTTGGGCGCTGCAGAAAATTTCACTTGTTAGGACAGCTTACGTGACTGAAAAACTATCTGGGACTGGGTTAGCGCCATGGAACATATTATGTATAAAATCACCTTGCACACACAGACACACACGTATGCACACACATGCACATACGCGCACCCCCCCCCCCCCCCCCCCACACACAAACACATCTCTCTCTCTCTCTCTGTCGCTCTCTCTCTCTCTCGCTCTCTCTCTCTCGCTCTCTCTCTCTCTCTCTCTCTCTCTCTCTCTCTCTCTCTCTCTCTCTCTCTCTCTCTCTCTCTCTCTCTCTCTCTACCTCGATATCTATCTACACGGTACATTAGTGGAAATAGCTACGTTGCGAAATTGCTCCTTCAATCACCCGTAAGCAATTGCATTGTCGAGCTCAGAATTCCCGTGTCACTCTTCAATTTGCCAATGTCGTCGGTTATGGACATTTCAGCGATAAGTGGAAAACAACCTGGAGCAACTACTTGACAACAAATACGGACTCGTGCTGTGAGGAGGAATGGCATGCATGCAGGCGTTATCTAGACAATGGAGCCAGTTTCCACAAATCTGATGTTTTGAACCGTATGGAGCTTACTCACCACCCATAAACGTTAACGGCGTGAACAGCATCGTATAATCCCTGGTCGTCTCCTACTGAGTGATACCCTTTGCTGTATGTGCTTTTCTGTGCTTTCCCAGCGGTCCCAATGACCATGTGTTCATCAACTTTGTAGATCATGGTGCACCAGGCTTTGTCGCCTTTCCTCGTGGCACTGTGAGTAGAACAGCATTGCTATCATTTTAATCCAGAGGTCGTGAAGAATGCTATGGTTTCAACTCTAGAAAGTCTATCATTGCACACGTACTTAGGCTCCACATACTTAGATATTGGTGACAGCCAGAAGCAGCAGAACCTGAAAGAGAGAGAGAGAGAGAGAGAGAGAGAGAGAGAGAGAGAGAGAGAGAGAGAGAGAGAGAGAGAGAGAGAGAGAGAGAGAGAGAGAGAGAGAGAGAGAGAGAGAGAGAGAGAGAAGCTGTGCGTGCATACCATGTGTATATTCATATCATCTAGGTGCTACTATTGTACAAGTATCAGCTTAGTTCCCTAACCCTCGACGTTGCGTCGATCGGATTTGGTACTCCACCGGTAACTGATTATAACCTGCTTGTGCTGGAGTACTCCTACATTCAGGTGATCTGTTATGCTTTTCTCCTTCTGTTACAGCTTAGTGCCAAGGAGCTGAACAGCGCTCTTGAGAAAATGCACACAAAGAAGATGTACAAGCAGCTTGTTTTCTACATGGAGGCGTGCGAGTCTGGATCAATGTTCGAAGGCGACCTTCTGCCTAAGAACAGGGACATCTTTGCCACCACGGCCGCCAATGCACACGAGTCGTCATACGCTTGCTACTACGACAAGCTGCGCCGCACCTTCCTGGGCGATGTCTACAGCGTCAAGTGGATGGAGGACACTGATAAGGTGTGTGTGTGTGTGTGTGTGTGTGTGTGTGTGTGTGTGTGTGTGTGTGTGTGCGCGCGCGCGCGTTGGCGTGAAGTTGTCCCGCTCTCTGCCTTGTTGATGCTTAGCCATGGCCAAGGCTACTAGTATAATTATTATAATATTGGCTGGGAGGCTGACACGAAAGTGCACGTTTGTAGTCCGTGTGCGTGTAGCAACCGGTATGCTGTTTTCATATTTCTGTGGGTTGACATCCTGATTTGTGTGTGTGTGTGTGTATGTGCGTGTATGTGTGTGTGTGTGTGTGTGCTTGCATGTGCGTGTGTGTGTGCCTGCATACATGTGGACTCGCGCAATTCTGCACAGGTTGGAACGACTGAAGACCTCCAGACACAATTCTTGTCAGTGAAGGAGGAGACCAAGAGCAGCCATGTCATGGAGTTTGGAGACATGGTAAGAGTCCATAGGATCATAAGTACCTCATGTACACCATTGTTTGTGGGTGTGTACTTGAGTCTGGTTCGGGCAGCTGTTCTGCAGCGGTCCCTGTCTCTTGTCGCTGATAGCAGCTGGTTTAATATTCTTGCGGGAACGTAGGCTAACCAATTTGTGTGTTGTGTGTGTGTGTGTGTGTGTGTGTGTGTGTGAGTGTGCGCGTGTGTACACGCGCACGTGAGTGTGTATGTGTGCATGTGTGCTTGTTCGTGTTCCTGTTCATGCGTGCATATGTGGGTGCTCGTGCAGAAATTCAACACGGAGCAGATTCAGGAGTTCTTGGGCGGTGTTCAGGGCAGTGCCATTGACAAGCAACTGAGGCGTATCACTGCACCGGTAAGTGCCATGCAGGGAGATGAACAGATGGGTGTTTGTTTCAAGCCTGAATGGGGTGGTGCCATGATTCTAATCTTACATCAACCGCCACACCAACACTGCACTCTCTCGCTACGGTTGTGGTGTGGTGGTAGATGTAAACTAATCTGTACAAGGCCGAATAGTGCTGCTAGCCTTTCTTGGGTAGTGCCATAGTAATGCTTTTTGTTGTACTGAAGTATCATAAACAGCAGTGAGGAAGTGATACAATTTACATGTGAATGAAGATATGCGGACATGAGACGCAACAAAGGCATCATGAATATTTCCAAGGGTGGTTAGGGTGATAGGCTAACCGTGCGGTTTTTCTTTGTACTGGCATTCTACGTGCAGGCTGCCATCAAGGACTACTGTGCCGACAAGGTGGCCTCGCCCAATGTTCCCCTGGCCATCCTCTATAACCGCTTGATGGACGCCACCACTGAGCAGGAGAAGACCGAGCTGCGCATCGCACTCTCGGACGAGCTTAGTGTGAGTTCATCCCCCGCTCCTCTACGTGCGCGCGCGCACACACACACACGCACTCACCTTTGACAATGAATGCATTGTGATGGCCAAAGGTGAGAATGGAAGTGCAAGAAACATGTGTGAAGAAAAGATAGGCTTTTGAAATGTTCTACATGTTAGTATGCCGGGAACTGTTATTATTCTGGTAAACTGACAGCCATGAAATTCCAATGGAATAAAAAAGCAGTTAGTTGTAGAACGTCAGTACCGTGGTCAATGTCCTGTTATGTTATCACGTGAGCTGATTGCCAAGTAACTGGTGGTGTTAGTGGACATTATAGCGTAACTTGTAGTTCCTTGGTCCTCATTTTTTTTGCTAGGAATAACGGACTGTGTAAATCTCAACTCGTGACTCTGCATGTAGTCATGGTACCAGGGTAGAGCTAAGGCTGTACGTGCAGCTGACATCTGACATCTGTGCAATTGCATGGACCTCTTCTCTGCTGTTCTTCTACCTCTTTGGGGCTCTAGCTTCGCAATCAAATCGCCGATGTCACAGCGAAGATCGTCGAGGGGGCCAACAACTCTGACCAGGACATGACCAGCGAGATCTTAAGCACTAAGACGCAGCCACGTGACTTTGACTGCGCCGAGGCTGCTGTGCATGCCTATAGCAGCAGCTGCTTTGATGTCTCACAGGTAAGCACAGGAGCATGATCACCATCACAAGCAGCAGGAGCCTGGACAACCCTGCTCCAGGCCAGACATATTATAGGAATGCACTGCAGACATGCTCTGTGGTGGTTGGCATTGTTGCAATGAAAGCCGCAGTAACTACGGAACTTACATGCCGCTTCAACTAACTTGTGTCTAAGGCTCCTCTTCACGGGCCGAGCACTTTCGCAAGACAACAGGACCTTTGCTCTGGACATGCACTGTCCTCAGAGATTGTGAATCTGTAACCGATGACGACCGTTGTCATAGTCCTACTGTAGGTCAACAAGTATTCGGCGCGTATTTATTTTCGGTTATTAGAGATGTTAATATGCACGTTATTTCCGACGTGACGCGCAATTTCACATCAAATCTGGCATAAAACTCCTAATTTCGACGTGAGCTGCAGGTCACTCGCGTTGTTTTTCGACACGCGAACCAGATGACGCGAGCTGAACTTTCGCGTCGCGTCAGAAATAACGTGAATCTTAACCTATTTTCGTCTTGGGGCGGCCGAATTTGTAGACTCACAGTATACCAGGTATACTGTGTGTTCATGCATGCTCCGTGGGCATGGCAACGCTCTGCAGCCAGTACTGAGCTGTCATGTGTGCCAGCTATTTCCTGAGACATGCGTTCATGTTTGCACTGTTTGCTGCTCTGCCCGTGTCGGTGCTCGCCGCGCGCAGGTTGACTTTGCGTTCCGTCAGGTCTATGCCCTCGTCAACATGTGCGAGAATGAGAACTTCTCCAAGACCTCGTAAGTCCTTTTTTCATTCTTTTGGTCTTTGCAACGTGTATACCTACTAGATAGATGACGCGAGTGAGTACAACTTGGTATGTGCATATCATAGTAGTTACTACTCTATGGTGGGTACATGTTTGGATTATTAGAATGTCCGGATAATTGAAAGGTTCTCGTCGGCAATTTGGGGTTCGAAATTATCAGCATTCCGTGCCAGGACTGCCGGAAGCAGTTTTCAATTGGTCTGGTTGTGCCTTAGTCTTTCATACTGTGTGTATCATATGGGCGGGTACATACCCTCCTCAGCAATAAACATGCGTTGGTAGCCACACAGTTGGTTCGGTGATAACCTGACCAACCGGACCGTTTCCGGCGGGCCTGTGTGCCATGTGGTGTGGAAGACCAACCGAGTGTTCATCTACTGATTTGCTGACCTCGTGCATTATAATAATTATTGTGGCTATTACTTGCACTAACTTTGCTTTGATGCCATTCTTTGTTTGTGCGCTATCTATGCAGAATCCTCTCCGCTATTGGCAGCGTTTGCAAATCATGAGAAGCCGGTGGCTATGGTCAATTAAATTAACTTGGCGCCTTTTCCAAGATCAGTTTTTTGAGCTTACTCGTTCGCACGGATACAGAAGTCTGCCTTATTGGCTCTCACACGGAGCAAAGGATAATTTATCCTTTTTTTCAATTCTTTCACACACACTCCACTTGTATTCAGTAACCTGTCACAATATTGGCCACGGCTGGGTGTGATGCGCACCGGCGGCCAATCTGTGACAAGTTGCCCACTGCCATGACTTTGTAATGTTCAGTGGTCTGTCCTGCTTGTCTATTTCATGATTCCTGCTCAACTTCCTCCACCTTTTATTATCTACACATTGATTGTATTACATGTATACATTTTTAATATTGTGTTCATAAAAACAACAACATTGCGTCATTGGTCAAGGTCAAACTACGCCCTTTCTAAGCTCACTGAAACTCCCTCAGTGACATCAGCCGGGCGTGATGAGCTGCTAGCTACTGATGCCCGTGACGGGAAACTAATTACTTGGCCATTTCCCTGGTTACCGTCAAGTGTCACTCAAGAACCTTGTATGGCCCGGAATCGAGCACACTCTCCAGGTCATGGTCCCTGCATGGTGAGTGTTGCCCGAGAAGTAGCGAGAACCCAGGCTATATTGTAGCGTGAAGGAGGCGTTCAAGCCGTCAAGGTTCAAGCCGTCAAGGTTCAAAAGCCATCATGTTCGGCAAAAAAACTCCTTGATTGGATTTGAGGTCAAAGGCCAAAAGGTTCACTCCCTGCTTATGACCTCCAATAAGCGTGACCAGCTTAATTAAGGTTCCTCGGTGACTGGATGATGAAACTCCAATCATTTCAAGTTTTTTGTGATTTGCATCAGGGTGTTGACTTGTGTCAGTTTCTCAGGGGTAGATCTACGCGGTTTGGGCATGACAGGCACTCCAAATCTACAGATGTGTACGACTCTTATTTTACCTCTCAGTAGATCAGATGTGTAGATCTACGACTCTTACCTCTCGGCAGTAGATCAGATGTGTACGACTCTTACCTCTCACTCTCAGTAGATCGTCAACACATACTCTCTATGGAGTCAAGGATTATCATTCCAAAAAAAATAATGATGATTTTCTTTGATGCTGCACGAAACTGATAATACTGAAATATACAAGGACCTACCACACCTCGTACACCGACGACAGTGACCGGGAACAAGCTAAGAAGAGAGAGAGCCACTGTTTGAAGGGAATCAGCACCGTACCGGCATCCCGCCAAGTTACAATTGAAGTCCTCTTTCTACTTGTTAAACACCACAGGACCATCAGATACTGCACAGCGGGGGCGGGGCATATTGGGTGGAAGTGGGCGCGGGGCACTGCAGTAACTCCTCCGAGCAAGGGTCTGGGATTCATCGTTACTCATATGCGCCGCTAATAAGGAGAAAGCAACATGTGCATCCAATAAGAAAGCACCTGCGAAAAACGATCATGGAGAGAAGTGGAGATTGGGATAGGGCAGAACAATAGTAAAAACACCGTGGAAAGATGAAGATGGAGAGAACTGATAATTGCACAAGCCGGTTATTATTATTATTATTATTATTATTATTATTATTATTATTATCAAATTTTTGATAGGGCAATCCCCACAGGCCTAAGGCCTTCTTACAGGGTGCGAGGACTGGGAGACACAAGTTGAACGAAGGGGATCAGCGGGGATCAGAGAGGGGTAGAAGGGGGTATTATAAATACTGGATAGGCCTTGACAGATTATGCTAGCATAATTTTTCGCATAATTCCTACAAAAATCGAATAGTCGCATAATTCGAGGCAAATTGCATACGAATCGCATAAAATCGGGAATAATCCGCCTGTTCGCATCAAATTCCATACAGTTGTACAATGTCATGTTCTACAAGTAGTGTACAAGTAGATGCACCAGGAAGTTGAAGGTTTACGACTCGCTTGATAACATGTCCAGTCCACTACAATCAGTGACGGTCGTAGCTATGTCGGACGGTGCGTTGACCCCGTTAAACGTTTGCTACTACAGTACAACGCCCTCTACAAAAAATTTCCCCTGTTATTTTGCACAGAACCGTTATACATTAGCAGCATATGTGAGCATAATGCGGCATAATATGATAACTTTTAGCATAAAAATGGCATAATTCTGCAATTTTTTCAGCAATGCGAAAAGCATAATTTCACGAAAATATTAGCATAATCTGTCAAGGCCTAATACTGGACATGATATTGAATTAAACTGTATACATGTACTCAGTGACTTTTTACATTTTCCAGGCTACGTTTTATTATTATTATTATTATTATTATTATTATTGTAAAGCTTTCCTTTTGATCTTGTCTCTTAAATTGTGTTGCATTGTCAAAAAAAAGAGAAAAAAGTAGACCTACTAGTAGTAGGAGCACGGTTAAAAAAAAAAAGAAGGGGCCGGGGGGAGGGGGGGCTGGAGAGTGGTCAGTATAGTCGACTGGTGTGTTGACCGGGATCGAGAGATCATAACCTACATGTCTGTGGCCCATAACCTGGGTTTCTGTAAAGTAATTTTCGACCCAAGCTCATTTAACTCACATGGTCGCATGTTTTCATCCCTATTCCTACAGAAAACTGGATCTTTGTGGAATTGTCTTTCACCCCGATTGACAACTAGATCCCCTAACTGAATTCAAGTGGCATTTACATATTCACATTGTTTAATGCTTGTTCTTTCCTTGCGTTTCATATTATTTTTGACCTCCAGCATTTTACACTCACTTTGCGTACTTTTTTCTCTTTTCCTTTACTACATTCCTAGTACCTACACAAATAGGAGATCCCCCGATAGGCGTTAGCCTTTTGATAATCCTGAAATAAAGAATCTAATTATTATACATTGCCACCATGTACCGCTCCTTTGATTACAATATTACTGCAATATTATTACTCGTCTTATGCCTGATCCTCACTAGCCCGATTATTCGGCCGATATTGAATCGTATGAAAACATCCTCAAGATCGGCACGAACATCGTCTGGTGCGGACGGTGTTTTTTCCATAATATGTTTCCGACTAATTTGTATGTGTGTGTGTGTGTGTGTGTGTGTAGAGGTAGTCCAAGTCTGTTCAACACAGTCGCCCGGTTTCAAATCGGAGTCGGTGTCGGAGCTGAAAAATCGGCCTGAGTGTGGACCAGGCATTTCTGGTTGTCATCGCTTTCATAATCTTGGGCAGAACTTCCTGTTTGCTATGTAAAATAAATTAAAAAGCCAACATACAAAAACTGAATAGGGCATTCCCACAGGCCTAAGGCTCTCTCTCTCAACTCGATTAACCCCGAAATTAATTTTTTTAATAAAGTCAGATAGTTCAACAACTACACTGACAGAGTACTGAGACATTCGACGACCTGACACCTAGGTCCAACACATCTCCGAAGCGCTAACAAACAGCCCCTTTCCCCCTTCTGGTCTTATCTTTGAAGTTTGATATTTCTGAGCCAGCCAAGTTGGGTGGAGTGCCGCTTTGCTGCTTCAAATTATTGTAGTTACTGGACCGCTTTGTCAAGTATCTTACTGGTCTCGTCATCGTCCAATAACAGTCGACAGTCTTTCTTCCCGACTTCCCGTGGGTCTTGCTTGAGCTTGTACTCATTTTCGTTGTAACCTAGAACCTTCCCAGTTGGAAGGCTGTTGGTTAGCGCTTCGGAGATGTGTTGACTTGGAGCTAGGTGTCAGGCCGTCGAATGCCTCAGTTTTGTGCCTAGTTGTTGAACTTTATGACTTTATGACTGTATAATTATAGTATCTAGTTACAGTGGTGGACTTGTATCCATATGTCTCTTTCCTTTTTACATTAATTATTGGCTCTACTGCAGTACATCCGAGTATCAAGTTGCATACGTGGAGATAGCCTAGCAATAAATAGAAACAGCTGCGCACTCATTCTATACACACACCAAGGCAAGTTGTTGGGTGAATTGCAATACGAGTAAATAGAACAGCTGCGCACTCATTCTGTACACATATCACAGACAGATGGAATAGCGCTCCTTCTGATATCCGCACTACTGCTTCGCCACCCCTATTTCGCCATGCATTACTTCCATTATTAGGGTGCCCCGTAAGAAGACCTTGAGTCTGTGGGGACTACCCTATGAACATATGAATACAATTAATAATGGACTCGGATGGAGAGTCAAGGATAAATTTATAGAAAAGACAAAGGACCAAGGAACTACAAGTTACGATATAATGTTCACTTAACACCACCAGTTACTAAACAATCAGCTCATGCGATAACAGTGAACGACACTGACCGACGGTACTGACGTTCTACAACTAACTGGCTAACACCGGTCGGTCAGTGTGTCGTGCAATGTTATCGCATGAGCTGATTGTTTAGTAACTGGTGGTGTTAGTGGACATTATAGCGGAACTTGTAGTTCCTTGGTCCTTTTTCTTTTCTATAAAATTAAAATAATGTTTACAAAGCACAGACAAGGGCCACGAGTACGAATACACACAGCTTCCAACACCTGCCTGCAATTGCTTGAAGAAACGTGCGCAACGAAGAACACTAAACCAGGAATCAGCAAACACCTTACGACATTCTGGACGTGACCCTGTGCTATGTAAACAGAAAGAAAACGTTGTATCACTCACACTCTAGTAAAATTAATAATAATGGATGAAGTACGAAGTAGTGGTTGCGACTTCGGCGACTTCTGCTATCTGGTGTTCACGAGGTGTTTATCGCGCTGGAAGCGGAGCGTCTCTGTAAGTTTGTATCCCTGGTGATGTTTGTACCTGGAGAGCACTATATAAGTGGTGCTCTTCAGGCACAATCTTCCTCAGCCTACTCAAGCTCAACTGATGAGGGGTGAATTCCCCGAAACACTGTGTATTGAGCAGGGAGTGGTGCTTTCTTGCAGGTTTGCCGAGTCGAAGGTTCGATGGACTTCTCGTGTGCTCTGAATGGCAGTCGTGAGTCAGTCAAGTGTCAAGTAAAGTCGGCGGAATAGCGCGAGCTCCGGTGTGGGGAGCAAACCCTTTCTTACAAATAATGGATGAAACTAAGGAAAGGACAACATGTTACGAGTTTTGACTAACTGTCCACCAACGTAGCCAGATGATGCAGTCAGCGAGTGCGACAAAAAGGCACAAACCCTCCCTTCAGTGGCTGCTTTTTCTCCCCTCCCCATTTTCTTTCTGCCCTTTCCTCTTCTAAGTCGTCTCCTTGTGAGAAGGCACCATTGCCTGTTTGGTTCAACTACTATAAAAAGCACAGCAACAACAACAACAAACTGACAAGGAGTAGTCAGACATTCGACGACCTGACACCTACATGTACATGTAGCTCCAACAGTCAACACTTCTAGTACACGGCTACAGTGCCTGCTCTAGACATTCAACACAGCCCGGTCAGAGTGTACCTGGCGCATGCAGGCCAGCCG